ACGAGTTCGGTAGCCATGCCAGCCGCCCACCATGGAGCCCAACACGGGGACATGACAAGTCCTAAACTTATACGAGGCATGTCAACGTCAGCTGTACACAGCCGCTATAACCAAATATATTGTGCCCAAGACAGAGCACATACACAAGGTTAACCCTTGCCGCCAGGAAAAATTGGAAGTAAAATGAAGTGAGGAGAAGACAGGAAAGATGTAAAGTGAGAACAAAAGACGAAGATGTAGGGAGAGAGAGATAGGAAAAGGCGACTGCCGATTTCCCCTGGGTGGGTCAGCCCAGGGGTGCCGTCTACGTGAAGCCGGGGCCAAAGGGGTGTGTTGCCTCTGCCGGGGTGCCTTAACGGTCCAATCACCCAGCGTCGGCTCAACCCCCAGGATCCCCTTTTCCCCGGACACGGCAAAGCCACGCACGGCTAGGCGTGGGAGGGAGTAGAAACTCCCCCGTTAGCTCGGGTCCGTGGTGTCGCTACACACCAAACGTCTACTTGGGCAGGCGCCCCTGCGGGGAGTTCTCATTAATATTGAGTCTAACAAAAAAAAAATAAACCCTTAAATTTACACTTTTTTCCTTCTGTACAACACAGCGATATGAAGATTTTTGAACACAGTAACAGAGGACTGGAGAACAGGCATACCCTCGTTCACAATGTTCAGAAACATGTTACACTTTGGGCGATAAATAATGGTTCATTCATCTGGAGTGCTTTTTTTCTGTTAGGCGCTTCATCCTTTCAGGAAGGAACAAAAATTTGCTCTACCTTTGTGCTTCACAAAAGAAGGTTGCGAATTCTTCACTAGCATAGCAAGGCCTTCTGCCTCCGGGCGCACTTTCTTGGCATCTCCAGATTCCCTTGTTGAGAGGGCTTCTTGTTTCAACAAATATGAAAGGCAGCCGCAAAATTGAGATGGCACTCATCCAAGGCACAGACGGGGCCTTGGATGAGTGGAACTTCTAGCACTTTTCCTGTCCGGGGATTGGTGTACAATGATGTATGGTTTACGCACGACGCGTGGAAATGCAAGGCGCACAGCTACATGCAATCCTGATGGATGTGTAAGGCACAAGGCTGCAATCCTGTGCTCGGAATGTTCACTGCTATAGCAGCGAATATGCTCTTGCAATACGATCCAGGATTGCTCTTGCGATACGATCCAATGTTATAAACACTTGTCATGACTCCCTGATAAACCGCCCATTTGTGGTAACAGTAGTGAAAATTTGATTCCTAGCTTGTTGTTGACAGTAGGCACGAAATCCCGTCTAAGAATCACACTAATCCATACTCGTACATTGTTTCATCCTTTGAAACTAAAAACAGTTGCATTTTGTTTCCCGTCTTGTAGTTGCTTGAACACATAGGCACACAACAGTTATCTGGCATGTGTGGCCTAAGAAAAACAGGACAGAAGTGACTGGCTCGACGGTACGCACACAGAAAGAATGGAAAAGTGCGATTGGGAGCAGACGGGACAGATGGGCCAGTATGAGGAACTGGCTTAGGTGGTCGGGTGGCTGAATGGCCAAGTAGAATGGCCGTTGCTGACGTCATGTGAGAGGGCACAAGACTTGAAAGTATTGTCGAGGACTTCACGTCGAGGATGACGTGAAGACGTACTGCGAGTTTTTGCGAGAGGTACGGGGACGAAATCTTGCCTTATGTGACCTTCGCCTATAATACCGCCCGCCAGGAAATTACCGGAATGACGTCGTTAGTTTAATACACGGGCGCGAAGTCACTACAACGTTGGACGCTATGTTGCCGCAGGAGTGTGACGACACTCACGCTGACGCCGAAGAATTTGGTCAGCGCACTGAAGAAGCCCGACAGCTAGCCCGCGTGCGTATTTGTCACCAGCAACACAATGATGCGAAACGATACTACCTACGACATAAATTGGTAACCTACAAACCAGGCGAGAAGGTATGGGTCTCCATCCCAATACGTCGACGCGGACTTTCAGAGCAGCTATTACGACGATACTTCGGCCCATATCGAGTCACCTGACGATTGAACGATATCAACTACGAAGTTATTCCCGACGGTGATTGCAGTTCCAGTCGCCGAAACCGCTCACCTGAGATCGTGCATGTAATCCGGATGAAACCCTACTTGTCCAGCTAACTCTCAAGCAGAGCGCCTCGGCTGCGCATCGGGACGATGCCATTTTTGGAGGGAGGCAAATGTCACGTGCGTCCCAAGAAAAAGACGAAGGCGACAACTCTCTGGCACGCGGGTAATAAGAAGACCAACCCGCTGCTGTTTTCTCAGTGTCTTCAAATACGACCTCTGTTTTCACGTCGCGACAGTATTTAGAAGCCATAGGCACTGAGAAGCCACACCGTTTTGACATTACCATGCCCAATGCATGCGTACGGAGCAGCAAGCTTAGCGTCACTGTAACCATACTGCATGTTTTCATTAGGCGAGAGTCCAAACGTGTCCTAGAAGTAGACGTTGTGATGGTGGTATCGAATCTTGGTGATACGTCCGAGTGTTTTTTGTATGCTTGTACAAGTGTACGTATTTGATGCAATTCGCAAATAAAGCTTGCTTAGAAGTTAGCGCTCTGTCCTCTTCTGTCAGTCTGCGCGGCCATTTCTTCATTACCATATGTGCTATAGCAGTTTAAGTATGACAAACCAACTTGCCCTATCTTCAGCACTTGAACAACAGAAAAACAACCAATTCTCAATGGGCCTAGCATGCAGTTCGGCATGTTTTCCCGGCAAGTTTGTCAAAGACAACACAACAATCGAGCATCGAGAAGAGCACACTCAAGCACAGCCGTGAATCAAAACTTCGTATCATACAGTTTGGGTTCGCGGTCTGGATATCGATGATGACAAAAGTTTAACAAGCTTGTACAAGTCCGCACACTCGCAGCAAAAGCGGAGGCTCAGGAAATAAAGTCGTCTTTTGAATTTATGGATGAGGTAGCCAATGTGATATCTATAGTAAGCGCAATAAAGACAGCAATTTCCCTGACAACAAACTCAAGGCGCACGTGGTTAAGGGGGGACACGGGTCTTAGAATGGTAAATAATGGCCAAAAAGTCGATTTTGAGAAAATGCGATATTTGAAAATTTTAGACCTGAAAATTTTAGAAACACGTGTCTTCAAATTGAAAACGCTGAATTCGATCAGTATATGGATTAAAATTGATTTTGAAGTCGCCACGGGAGCCGCAAAACAACCCACGGCAGGTCAAATTTGTTCAAACTTCCCGCACGCGCCGCCGGCGAGGCAGTCGGCCGATCGCCACCATCTTGGGCTTGTTTTGAAGCCGATTCCTTTGTGCGCATTTTGCCACCCTTCAAAATGGCGTCGCTTAAACAGAACGGCTGCCCTCGCCCCTTTTCCGGAGCCCCCTTCCGTGCCGCTGATTGTCCGGAGCGCGCGCGCACCAGGACAATCAGCCTGTTCCTCGCTTCCCATTGGCTGATGTGGTCAAAGTTGCCCGCGCTTTTTTTTTTTATATTGTTCGTCGGCCGCCGGTTCCCGTTCACGCACGTTGTTCATCTGATTCCCGCACGTGCCTGCTTGTGCTACGCGACCGACGCACCGACTTTCCGTCTTTTGCCGGCATGATTGGAGACGCTTGCTAAAGAAGAAGACGCGCCAAGCGTACGGCAAGAAACGGAGGCGCCCGTGAAACACCCGCCAGAAGAAAGCAGCCGACAACGTGCAGCCAATTTCGCCCCACGCCGCCGAAGCGGCGCATTCCGACGACGGCGCACAGCCGCGGCTGCTTGTGACCGAAGCGTTGCACAGTGCTTTGCAGCAGCACCTCATCGGATTGTGTCGTCATCGGATCGTCATCTTGCACTTCCAGCAGCATCCTAGACCGCATTGAAACGGAGTTTTATCCGGCAGAGTTTGCTGAGTGCGCGAGAAATGCAGCATGCTTGGAGGCATCACTCGCATCGCAGTGCGTGACGGAACGCAAGTTCGAGTTACTAGATATTGATCTGGAGGGTGGTGGCAAAGAAAACGGGACAGAATTTGTTATTGTTGATCTGGTGGCGATACGCTCGTTATTTGGACTTGTCGCGTGCCCAGAATGCGGTGAAAGAAGCGTCACTATTTCAAAGGCCAAGAAAGAGTATGGGCTGTGTTCGAAGCTCATAGTCACGTGCGGCAGTTGTGACTTTCGCGAAGAGCGTTTTTCATCCCCACGTATAGCCGACGAGACCGACGCCAAAATAAGGCCGTTTGAAGTTAATATGCATGCCATGAAAGCCATCAACAGTATCGGCAAGGGTAAAACGGCTCTGTCGGACTTCTTCGCCGGGATGAATATTTCGCATCGAGGGCTTCACCACAAGAGTTACCAAAGCCACATGAATATAATGAAAGAAGCCTGCAGTTCAACTGCAGCCAAATGCGAAGCGGTGAGCGTTGCTCGCGTCAAGAAGTTCTATGCGGAGTTCGGCAACGCGTCCGGAAACGTCGACGTCATTTATGACGGCACCTGGCTTACGCGTGGACATAGCGCGCATATATGTGTTGGCTGCATTGTTGAGATGTATAGTGGCCTCGTGCTATACCATATCGTGCTATTGGCGCCAGTGCAAAGGCTCTTAGGGTCACCTAGGCAACCGATTCCTCACTTGGCGAGCCCACACAGTGGGGCCGCAGTGTTTTTTTCTTCTCTTCCTTCCTTTCCTTTTCTTCTTTCCTTTGCCCCTCGCTCGTTTACTCCACATCCTCACACATCTTAACCTTGTCACTATCTCCCCAGCCGCATAACATCGTTTGAGAAGCGCACTTGCTCCTTATTGCTACCACCTTTGTCAGGAATATTTTCCAAGGCAACTGCATTATGATTGGTCTTTCACCTTTGAGGGCAACACAATAAGCGGTATGCATATACAAGGCATTCTATGGAAGGGGAAAGTCGAAAAAAACAGCACTGTAACCGGTCCTGCCCTGCCTTATAAGCGGTTATCACTAGTCTGCACTCTACTAACAAAGGGTCTCACCAGGGGGCAGTCCAAATGGTGGTGGGGGTAGGCCAAATGGAGGTGGCAAGCCAAATGCTGGCGCAGGCATTGTTAAGGGTTGCTGTACCAATGTGGACAGAGAACCAGCGTTTGGAGGTGGCACCGCTTTGGAAGGCTCTTGCGGCATGGGCTTCTGCTGCTGCTGTAAGGGCTGGTGCTGTGTGGGCGGCTGCTGCTCCTGCTGCTGATGCTGCTGCTGTGTGGTTGATGCATGTAGCATAGATAATGGCTGTTGCTGCAGCTGGTGTTGTGCATGCATGTCAGTGCTGCCGGCTGCCACTGCAGCCCCGGAGGGAGTCGCAGTAGTAGATATGGGTGTCATAGTGGAATCCCCTGCAGAGACACACGAGAATGCAAAGATCATTCATTACAGAAAGATCACTGTCATATGGGCAAGACAATTTAGAGCTTAGATCTTGAAACTTTTAACGCAAAGATAAACTACTATTATGGTGAAGCCATATGTCTTCGTTGAACGCAGAAAGTTGCACCATAAAAGCACAACTGATTTTTGTTCACATGGTCAGTGGTGGTCCAGGACTGGAAGGGAGCACACCTTGTCCACCACATCAGCTCGGCTGTCACCGAAGTTAGTGATTAGTGGAGTTTATTGGAGCAAGGTCCAGATGTGACCAAAGAGCACCAGAGCGATCATAATGAACTGTGCGATGTGCAATGTAGATAAAACAGATGTGACGTGGCTGTAAATGGGCCTAAAAACAGTCGCTATGAATGCGTAAAAATATATACATAGTAAAATTATGGCAATGACAAATGATGTGTGCTATGGAGACATAAAATGGTTTAAAAGTGATATGTATGTGAAATAAAAACTTCGCATGGAGCACCAGTGCCTCGACAGAGCCCTTAAAAGAAGAGCATGGAGGCCTGGGCTTATTGAAAGCTGCTATCACAGCGGCATCCTCTGAACAGAGGATGCGCTATGAACCTGTTGGGCTAAAAACATTCAATGTTGGGCTAAAAACATTCAATACTACATCCTTTAAAAAGCTTAAAACTGATTTTGCATCAAAAAGCGGTTCTTCACCGAGAAACATCATCGGATGTAAAGAAAGATTATAGCGGTATGCTAAAGCAAAATATTTCTTTCTCTCACTTTCAGCTTCCGGACACTCCAGGAGGACATGGAGGACGGTTAGCCTGAAGGTTCATCGCCAGTCAGCAGAAAGCTATGGGTACCATAAGTGTGTCCTATTCTGAGGCGACAGAATAGGACATCAGTTCGCCGTGTTCTTGTAGCGGAGGGCCAGTAACCCAACTGCGGCTTAATCAACTGAACCTTATTACAGTGAAAGCTCGTTAATTCACACCTCATTAATTTGAAATTTTGGATAATTCGAAATGGTCGCCGCAGTCCAGTCCGCAGTGCATAGGAGACCATGTGTAAAACAATTCGTTAATTCGAACAGAAATTGCTGCCTCTACGGATAATTCGAAGCGCGCGCCGCCGAGCGGCATCATCGTCAAACACTAGTGGAAGCTTTTACGGTCGAACGATAGGTGGCACGACCAGTTTTTTCGAGCTTCAAGTGGCCTCCGAGCAAATGCCGAGCAAAGTATGGCCTCCAAAATCCAAGGAGCAATTTTTTTTTTTTCGTAGCCCTCCCGCTATCTCAGCACCTGGCGCCACTTGTACGCAGGACCCACGGGACGCTGAGGAGTCGGCAGAGTAGTCCTAGCAGTCCTAGGCCGCTCCCGGCAGCGTCACTTTGTTCCTCGAGCACGTTGTTCGTTCACGAATGATTTTGTGCGCCGGCGGCAGGAAGGACTTCGGCATTACACTGCTCACTGCCATGCACATGTTGGTGCGCGCATGGGAACAGGTGACCGCGACCACAATCGCAAACTGTTTCTGCCACAGTGGATTTGCAGCTGGAAGTGCGCAGGATAGTTGTGACGTCGACGTGGATGGGGCTGAGGAGCTCATGCCAGTGGCATTGCGCGACACTCTTCGGGGCGTACGTTTTGCCGATTATGTTGAAGTTGACACCAGTGCATCGGTGTGTGGTGCCCTGACTGATGAGGACATTATGGCTCAAGTAGCCGGTGCGCAGCCTGATGCTGAAGAGCCAGAAGGTGAGGAAGACGAAAATGAAGCGCCTGTGCGCCCGTCAGCTTCTTCGGTGATGGAGGCACTTAAGGCCAAACCTCGTAAGCGCGAAAATGCACGCGACAGCGACAAGCGACGCGACGTAGATCGGCTTCGCGCGATCAGTCGCTAGCGCAGGCAAACCTTATTCAAGCGACGGCTTCGGCGAGCGAATTCCACTGTTGGTGGCATGAGGCCGTCTACTCGCACCAAGAAAACCGCGTAGCGAGCGGTATGCAATTTAAAAATAAGATATATTGTTGTGTAATGAAACGGAAAGTGTTTATTATTGCCTTGCAGCCCTTTTTCATAGGCACATGCATAATAAACATTGCGTTATTTCTTGTTGCGCATACGTGACTCGGGCAGGGTCATTGGCACCTATGTAGTCTTTGTCTTTTCCGGTATTTCGCTATTGGCTGCTTGAGCCCAGCACTTCCGGGCGATGAGCGACGGTATCCAAATCTGGAGAACCGAGCGATCGCGCGAAAATGAGCACGCGACACGTCGCGCGAACGCCCTGTTTCGTCGCTCATAGCGTCGCTCGTCGCTGTCGCGTGCATTTTCGCGCTTATGAGGTTTGGCCCTTAATGTGGCGCGTCTCTTTTTCAGCTTTGAAGAGGGTGAAGAGGATTCCCTGCGCTGCGTCCGCGCGCTCTAACAGGGAGCTGCAGCTGTGGCATTCAGAGAAAAGAAGCAGATGGTCATCACCGACTTTTTTTGGCCAATAAATATTTTTCGTGCCCCCACCCCCGAAATCCACCCATTTTTGCTCACTTTCATTATTTCGAATTTTGTTTAATTCGAAATTGCTCAGCGTTCCCGTGGAATTCGAATTAACGAGCTTTTACTGTATTTATTTCTGTGTCCCACAAGCATTGCCAGTGGTTTCGCAGTTTCTTACGTAGGAAGGGTTTTAAATCTGTTGCAGGGACAGTAGCTGTGGGGTTAGTAGCGCGCAATATAATTGACGTGGCCATTTGGTCAGCTAACACATTGCCCTCGATACTTCTATGGCCAGGAACCCAGCAAATAGTAACATGCTAGTTGGACATATACGATGTACACAGAACGGAATACAGCTCAATTATTACCGGATTCCTGTATCTGAAAAGGGATCTTAATGCATTGACGACGCTTAACGAGTCTGTGAATATAATTTATTTTTGTATGTTTGATTTCTGTATATGCTTCACAGCCGACAATAGTGCATAACCCTCAGCCGTAAATAAACTTGTTTCCGGGTGCAACACACCGGATTCCGAGAAGGATGGTCCGACGGCTGCATAAGCCACCCCTGCAAGCGACTTAGAAGCGTCAGTATAAAACTCTACGCATGAGTAGTTGGACTGGAGTTGTCGGAAATGCATTTTAATATGTGCTTCCGGTGCATGTTTAGTGATCTCGGCAAAGGAAGTGTCACAATGTATGAGCTGCCACTGCCACAACGGTAAATGTTTTGTTGTGGGCATAGGACAAAGTTCTAGCAGCGGAACACCCATTTCCTCACTTAAGCTTCTCACACGCAAAGAGAACGGCTTTCTCGCTGCGGGTCGATTATGGTAGAAGGTGGCAGCGGTAATATCGTTTATAGCTGAATAAGAAGGATGCTTTATGTTTGCACGTACCTTTATAAAATAAGTGAAACTGCTATAGGATCACTGCAGGTGAAGTGTCCACTGATTCGACTCTACATAGAGACTCTGGACCGGACTTGTCCTGAAAGCACCGGTTGCCAGTCGGATACCCAGATGGTGAACGGGGTCACCGAAGTTGAAAGAGGAGGAAATAGCATCTTTGCCTTTCACATGTAAAGTGTTGTCGACAACACTTTGGTTGAACCAAATCATGTACATGAATACAATTCGGCCTCTGCATTGCCTCATTCATGATAAGACGACATTGAAACACAACCCCACCAGCATTTAGTCAACCTAGCCAAGAAAAACACTTTCACGCTGCTATCTCGTAAGAATATGCCTAGAAACCGTCCTCTCCCCAGATTTTTTTTTCTCAATTTCACTTTGAAGTATTTGAAAAACTTGGATTCAATTCGCACTCGGACTTCAATATACAAAGTCGCTTCACGCCCGAAGTTTTGCTATTCCTACAGCTCTAGTGTTATCTCTAGTTCCCTAACAGATAAGAGAGGCTATCAATGGCATGCTAGACTTTCAACAACAGAGACATATGCGCCGCCGCGGAAACTTTGGTTAGGCCGAACATAACGACAAAAAGCACATCACACAAATGCCAGCATTATGGAACAGCTGTAGTTCTGTTTATTGTGACCAAGAATAGTTATATGGGCCATAAACGGTACGATTCCACTTAAACTGGTGAACTCGTGAACTTTGGTGCAGTTGACACAAGCTGTACTCGAATGTGTACGGCAAGGTGCAGGGATATGGAATTATAGCAACAAGGCACTATTGGCACAATTGGACACCCACTGCATGGTCGCGCACAATGATGCAAGTTATACGGTGACTTGATGGTCAAGTTCTGTAGCATCCACAACATTACAACAAGAATGCTACAATACATGACACAGCCATTGAGATCAAGCATGCAATCATAACTCTACAATGCCATGTCGCACAACTAAGTTTCCAAGGAGAAAAAATTCAAAGATGTTCAAGGACTTTTCAAGCACTGTCACAAGGTTTTCAAGAACTCAGAGTGGCATGCAAAGTATCGATTCCCCCCTATAAAATTATCAAACATGACTCATTGCACTTAAAATAAATAAATTGATATAACAATTATAACCAAAATCTCTAGTCTTAACGTCTCAATATACCGTAATTACTCGAATCTAACGCGCACCTCTTTTCCGGTTAAGCGAGTTCATAAATCGCAGGCGCGTTAGAATCGAGTACAATAAAAAATATGAATGCGGTCATTCTATTGCCATCGGCATTTCCAAAATGGCCGCCCCCTACGGGCGTCGACATGGCGCGTCAGCCATTTCTGCCTATGTGTTTCCCATGTGCGGCACTTCGTACGTGTACTGAGGAGTTCGTAATCTTGTAGTGTAGTGTATTAGCATCGACGGCATGGAAGGGCCAACTCCAAAAACTCGAGTGCACCACGATGCCGCTTTTAAAAGGGAAGTCATCGCGTGTGCAGAAACGAACGGAAATTGGGCCGCATCGCGGTCGTTTGGAGTTCCCGAAACGTGCGTGTGGGACTCGCGGAAACAAAAGCAGAAGATTGTCGA